TCTGATGTCGGATCAGACGAAGGGGTAGAGGTAGGGRGGGTGGTAGGGGGAGTTCCAGGAGCTGGGATAGGCGGAGTCTCRGGAGCTGAGGTAGGTGGAGTTCCAGGAGGTTGGGTGGTTGGGGCAGGTGATCGATTGTACTTCTTGCTATCCTTGGCAGCCTTCTTTGGAGACTTTTTGGAAGTCTTCTTCGGCGACTTGTCGGAAGTCATCGGCGACATCGTTGGATACTTCGTGCGAGGCATCGAAGGGGAATAATAATTGCTATCTTTCTTGCTGTCTTTCTTGCTGTCTTTCTTGCCGATTTTGAGAATGCGCATATTGCCTCCGAGAATGGTGGAGGCATCGGCTATAGTTATTATGGCAGCAATGCCAAAGCCCACTGCTACTTTGGTGCGGAAGCTCTTCATCTTCGTTGTTCTGCGGTACAATAAAAGTTTCGCATCGTCCTTTTTTGAAGAAGGGAGATTTTTTTGCTGAAAGAAAGGATGATTAATTGCAATTGCGTTTTGACGTTCTGTTTTCGATTTGTGAACAACGAATTGTCGTGTCGCCTAAAATTCTGTGTGATTAGGATAGTATTACTGGTTTTTAGTCACAATTTCAGTTGTTGAGTGGCAGGTAGGTCCGTTGCAGCTCTGCAGGCTKTATAGTCGCGTAAATCGCATGCGATTCTGAGACTAGGAAAAATAAGCTATTTTCTAGAAGCCGTTTGCTTTGTTTGCCTACGTATTTCGTACCACCGGGTTTATTCAAGTATYACTAGGAGAAAAGTTCGTTTATGGTCATTCAATGACAATTGCCAGGTATTGGGGATGACCCAATGGGTCATTCCTTGAATACTCGTGATCCAGAATTTGGGTCCCAGTGTGAGCCTAAATCACGAGTAGATAGTGAATAAGCTCACTCTTTATTGTAAACACGTAGTTATATGGCACTAAAGAGCACACGTACATTTTGGGCTCAGTCTGTCCTGATAAACAAAAGATCCAGATAGTGGACCCCCCCCCTTCCCCCAGCATGCAAACCACCTTCTSGGCTTTATTGCACTGACTTCTTMGATGGAATCTGTGACTCCTCTGCACCCAAAAAATAGTTTCTCAGCAGCAAACACCACAGTACAAATACACAGACAAGAAGAATAGCAGTACTACTACTACTAGTACTAGCAATAGTAATTTCTTGTTGGTGGTTCCAACAACAACAGGAAGTCCTTCCTCTCCTCTGCAGGAGAAGATCCGACAAGGAGAAAGAATAACATACCAAGAACAACAAGCAACCAATCCTGACCAGAATTAAGGACAATTACAAAGGGAGATTCAGCATGTCTTTGAAGTGCAATTTTTGGTGTTCTCCTATCCATCCTTCCAGTATCATCTCCTCCTCTCCTCTCCTCCTCATCCTCCACAAGAAGTGCTCAACAGAAGAAAATGATTGTCTCAAGGAGCATTGACATATTTCCAAAGAAGTACTGGTGGTGGTACCTCCCAGTTGTGAAGACCAAACAGCCTTGCAACAAAATTGATTGTTTTTGGACCCAACAAGTACAGAACTACTACTATGATTAGTGGCTGTCACCAATACTACAGATAGTAGTAGCAGTTCCCAATTTCAGCCTTCATCTCCAAAATTGCAAGGAACCACTGCTTGGGCATTGCCACCTACTTCTACTATCACATTGTCTTTGATGACCTTATAACCAAGTACTGTTACTTCAATTTACAACCCACATCAGTAACTCTCCTTCAGAGGTACTTGAAAATAATTCCCCAACTATGAATACTTGCAGTAGCAGTACAGGCCTCCGATGAAACATCACGTGCATCATTGGTGCGAGTGATATTGTTCTATGTAATGAATGAATAATTATATTATTTACTATTATTCAGTATTTACACAATAGATTTTGGTGCCAATAAACATACAGTACTATACCGCAACAAAACGCAATCTTGTAGTGACTTTTCACCTCCTCCATAACCCAACGCAAATGCACCCCACGTTTTTGACAAGCTGCTGTCCGCATGCTTGCGCGTCACTAGTGTCGTGGAATGACTTATTCAAAGAATACGATGCGTTACATTGTGTGCCTATGCCTCCCCTCGATTCGTCTACGGTTTCGCGTCGGAAAGATTTGTCATTGATGTGGTTTGTTCCATGGCATAAGCAGACATCAATCGGTTGATCGATTATTCGAATATCCACTGAAGTCATTAATTCTTTCATCCACCTATCAATCCTTTGATCTATCGACTATGGTCTGTAACTGATTCCACCAAGAAACACAAAAGTATAAACGATATTGTATTGCCGAAGCATCCATCAAAAAAGTTTTAGCAACACGTATACCACCGGGTTTCCCGCCGGATCGAACTGAAACATAGCATATCCCTGGTTGGTCGACTGGAGAGACCCTCCGGTTCCAGTGACCAAGAAACGCCCACCCACTTCGTCGGCGGTCCCAGCAACCATGACAGAGCCATAACCACCAAAGTTGTCTGTCTCGATCTTGTGGTAGATCTCGCAGTAGCTCAGTTCTTTTTTGATGTCACTGGTGACAGTACAGGTTCCACTGGCTACGCCCAGTTCTTCCGCCTTGGTGACGATCCTTCCRGAGAAGCCGAACTTGGTGCCGATGGAAATCTGCTCGAKGGTTTCGGCGCCGTTCGAGTATCGAAATTCTTCCATCATCTGTTTGCATAGTTCAGTGCAAAAATKTGGATCAAATGAGTGAGCAAGTRGGAGACTAATACAAGTACATCGCAACAACCAAAAAAGATCGACAAATGAAGAATTAATTCAACAGTTCAAGCAACCTCGTTGACATCGAAGGAAAATACCGTATATCATACCAACACCATACAAACAGCAATCCAGCAAAGGAGTGATGGAACGCAATGTGATGATTCTCTTACAATCATGAACGAAATTTCCGTGGGTTCGAGATTTGGTGCGGCGTCTTCTCGTCCGCCCCGCGGTCCAGTAGTAATGGTTCCGACCACAATGCTGCTGGCAGCTTCGTCGTCKAGCCGGGCCTCGGTGACAACAGTCTCCAAGGCGATCTGTTGGTTAGCCTCGTCCAGGATTTCCATTTCTTCGTTGACTTCAAAAAAGTCAGAACCATCTGCTTCTAGATCCCCATCGTCTGCCGTTGTAATATTGGCATCCACAAATGTTGTGTTCGATTCCGTCGTTGTAGCGTTGYCATCCATTTGTTCAACCACGGCATTGACGTCTGGCGTCGCTGCAAAGAGACCATCCAACTGGATGGAAACGATCTCGCTCTGGTCATGTTCGTGGTCACCTTCTTCTAAACCTTCGTGTTCGTGGTCATGCTCGTGCATGTGGTCCTCCTCCTTTTCTCCCTGGTCGACAAGAAATTCTTGCATTTCTACTTCCTGCAACTTCCGGGCACGCTCAAAGGAATGGAGAACGTCGTCGATGCCGACTGGCATTTTGTCTCTTTGCAAGCCCATTGTCGCAATTCCCGCTTCGACGACGACCGCGAAAAACCACAGGCAGGCAACCGTGGCAACGGCCGAAAGGGACATTCTCGTCCTTGTTGGGGCAGTCATGATCTTTGTTCGATTTCCGTTCGTATTATTTGTGGTAGCAGTACCAGGTAGTTTGTATTGCTGCGTATGCGGTGTAGCAAGATAGAAATTAATATAAGTAATTGTCGTGATGTAATGCGTTCAACGGGTGACTCGTTGGGATGTTTAGCAAGGTTGGGGCGATGAATTCGTTCGATACAAGAATGGATCGGTTGGGGAGTGCGTTGTTTTCTCCTATCTTGTTTTGCGTCTGGTTGCGTTTAACCAATACGAATCAATTGTACTACTAGTAAATAAAGAATCGTTGGACATGTACATTAAGAGTGCCACTGTGCTGATCACGGATGATGGAGAACTTAAATGCATTACAAGTACGATACGATACGATACTGTAATTAAAGAAATTTTTTTATGGTAGTTTCGTTTTGCTCTGGGCACACTCCACAAAAATGCTGGCAGGCGTCAATTTTGAATTTCAAAACTCCCGGAGACGGGTTTCAATTATGATTGTGCATCGAGCGGGTCAGTCGAGAAGTCTTGCAGTATGTACGTAAATAAGTCGTACTTCTACCACACAACGCAACAACATCGGAACATCTTACTGATAGGAACTCGTACGAGTGCAACTACGTACCCTGCAATAGGTACAATGGTACGTACTTGTATCGACTGCCTGTTCGCAACTGCGGACATACGTACGTACCGTTAGGAGGTCGGTTACTCGTCATAGATTTCAAGAATGTTCGTACTATATATTGTACGTATGTAATTATTCGGGGTTAAATGAAAGAATGCCAATCAAAACCGACGYGGTCATCGCTGATGCTATGACCATGYGTGGTCGCGTTTCGAAGGCTTATTCTTTGGGAATCCCACCACACAAGCCGGGCGAAGCGCATAGCCTGTATCAGCGATTCATCTATCCAGCACACTCGGAACCAATATCGCTGTTATCGGTAACAAAATGGCAATGACCGCATTATCGATCACCGCACTATGGATTTTGGCGCACCCCGTGCCGTGCCACATACAAGAGGAATCCATAGTGCACATAGAGCCCGGCGCACGCGATTGGTGCTTGCTGGGAAACGAAGAACRCACCTACTAAAATTTGGAACACTTGTATCTTGCAAACAGTATACAACACAACGCTTGGTGGCAAACCGAAGTCTTCTTGTCGTGGAAGCAAATGTGCGAATTGGAGTTCAGCTACGTTTGTCCAACAAAAAGACAAGCAAGGCACAAGCGAATAAATCKATCGTRTAGAAARTACTTTAAATTTCAATTCAATCCTGGCCACCTTGCAGGATTTSAMCGAGAGGGCATTCTTCCTTTCGATAGTTGCGCAGAAGAASAWAGTCATTGCTCCTCTACCCTATTAACYGATCTTGCATGCATAGTCAGACAATAGATCAGGCGCCAATASCAATCTAATCAGTAACGYACTTTATTGGTGTTCTGGCAATCAACAWARMAACATTTGGTTGGAAACACATCACGAAGAACCAAGAGTTTAAGACCAATCGAACAAAAATAGCAACAGACAATCCAAAAATATGAGATCTGTCCAACTACTTGCATCAGCCCTTCTAATTTCTGCAGCATCAGCAAGCAGAACCCGTGATACAACAGTATCATCATCCTCTTCTCTCCGTGGAACAAACAGCAGCGGTGGACGACGCATTCGAGGAGCACGAGGCCGCAATACACGCAGMATCAGCATCAGCATCAGTGACCACGAAAGGTTTCTCAAGAGAGAAACCAAGAACGACGAGCTGAGACCCAAAAAGGGATTCAATGACAACATTGCCGAGGCAAGCACTGGTACCGGTGAAGTTCCCAAAAAAACGACCCAAAAGGAATTGAGAGACCGCAACACTCCAAAGAAGAACACAAATAAAAAGGTCCTTCCCASTAACGTTGCCGAGGCCAGCACGGATTCAGGTGCAACTTCAAACAAAGAAAATCAGAAGAAATTGAGAGACCGCAATGCCCCAAAAAAGAATACSAACAAAAAGACCCTTCCCACGTCACCTCCGGTACCCGCCACGGTCCCAGAGAAAGAGACGAARTCCKTGATTGASGAAGCAGTTGTTGCTACCCTTCCAGTCGCCACYGGAACTCCCACAACGAGCCCCACCGTGAAGCCACCGACTCTGTTCCCGACGTGGACATTTACCGTGGCCCCAGCTGCTCCTACACCCGCCCCACCACCAGCCTGTGAGTACTGCAACGGCTGTTTCGACGAAACCGCTTCGGTGACCTTTTCCAATCTCGGAACCACAGCGACCTGTATACGCATCCGTGAAAACATGGCCAAGCTCAATCCAGCACAATGCGATGGCAGACGAGCAGTTATCGAGGAAGCCTGCTGCTGCAATAGCGATGCGGCCCCAGGTGAAGAAATCACTGGCCGTGTCGAAAACTCCGATAGCGGTGTCTTGGATTACGATACCGCTTGTTCCTTCTGTGCTGGAAAGGAATAYATTGGYCAGAACTACATTACATTTGTTACTGAGCCGGATCAGGTGAGCTGCGCTGGTTTCAATTCCCTGATCGAGACCGGATTCTTCGATCCAAATTTTTGCATCATCGAAAAAGCCGCCGTCGAGCAACACTGCTGTGGGGCGGACATAGTAGATAGTGGCATCTCCCTGCCCGCACCAGCCGATCCTTCCTCGGTTACTATCATAGTAGCTGGAGATGACAACGAAACTGAAGTAGMGGTGGATGAGGAAGAAATCTTTTATTTCATCAGGGACAATGAAATTTACGCTGTAAATCAGGACGGAGAACTCGTCCAGGTGACGCAAACGGAGGACATTGCTGACGCTGTAGAAGAAGCAACCACAGTGATGGTCCCTGCTTCCCAACCACCGGYGCCATCGACCATCAAGGGGGGGGGCAAGCGGGAAACTGGGACTATTGGTAGCCCTGATCGGAACCACAACCGAATCAACAGTGGACCCTCTGGTCAGGGATCGGGATTCGATTCGAGGTTGGSAGAGGTCGATGAAACAAGTATCCAACCAGCTTCGACCACAACAATATCAACAGCATCTTCCAGAGAAGTTGATCGCCAATACGACCCCAATCAGAGTCGGCAGAAGCACAAAAGCATCCACAACGAAACACCGATGTTTTCTCGAGACCAGGTTGCATCATTCTGAAGGCGAAGATCAGAGAACAAATGTCAAAGAAAAAGACAAAAGATAGAGAAGAAGGGCTCTCATCGGACAAAATACACCACCATTGCCATTGCCATTGCCATCAGCACCACTACTACTACGTTTATGTATTAATCATCCAGCATTTATTTCCACTATTGTAAACACCTACGGGCAGCAACTCATCGGCATTAAGAAAACACGGTTGAAATTACAATCAAAGCGTTAATAAATWAATTAACCACCCTATCTCATGTGTTTCAGACAATTGCTACCATTTCTAGTGCGCCTTGAAAATGACGCAAAGGATGGTCAACATTGTTACCAGTCGAGTACTTGCCGTATGTTCAGCAATARAGATGAGATCGACCCAAATTTTCTGTCAAGAGAATGCGGACGACGGGTACTGAAACTGTTATGAAATTTGAGGAGATCGTGAAATTCTCTAATATTGATTAATGCTATCAAACTAACTGGTCAGCAACTCGTATCGGCTACACTTGTGTCTGCGACATTTGCATTAGCGGCATTAATACTACAAGTACCACGCAAAAATAAAAAAAATCCTTGAGCTGATTATATAATTTTGGGACCAAGGATGGATATGGAGTACGAAGTATGAATTTCGACGAAACGAGCGCCCCTAAACTACTGTATTACCCTGCTTAGGTACTGTATTGTTGTCCGGTACGATCTTCGTTCGAAGATGCATCCAGGGTCAGAGCCGTAATCAAACTGCTGTAGTAAGTACTTCAACTTACTTCGTACAGTAATTAATAACTGCAGCTCTAGATTTCTGTTTCTCCTCTTTCTTAGGATAGTGTTTCATTCGATTTTTTATCTCTGTCAATTATCGTTGTCTGTATTTTGACAGAGTGTGTTCTTCTTTCCTATGTGAGAGATTTGGAAGAGCTAAATGGTCTGGTTTGACATTTTTCCGTCGTATCCTGATTTGTCTAATCGTCTTACTTAGGATATCTGAGGCCTTATAGGATTCTCCTTGTTTTTTCCATTCAAAAATAAAAATGGACAAACATATGCGTTGAAAACATACATCTAGCCTTTTTCATTCTTGTACTTCTGTCATTGATATTATCATATCCCTTAATTCGGAATGGGACCAAAGGGTCCTAAATCGGCAAACTCCAAACCGGGTGCAGTAAATAAAAATACTGTAAATATTTCTTCGTATTGATTATTTCCTGCGACAGAGAACCCCTAGAAACTCTATGAGATCAGGAAAAATAGCGCTCAGCATCTGCTCCAAATACCTAGCACTTGTTACCATAAAAATAGTACTGTASCAACCGGCCGGTTACACGCACTTTATGGAAMGTTCTTCTACTATGCATCACATATGGTGGGGTCTCGTACGCATACAAAGCAAGATCACAAAGCTGTGGTTCGGAGAGTKACAATTGCTAATATGAATAAGATAGCCGAGGAACCAACCATTGCACTGATCCCTCCCCGAGGGCAAGACGGCGTTCGAGACAAGATTCGCTGCGAAACTTCTTTCACTGATTCCTGTGGGGACGTCAGCACCTTATCAATCGACGAAAATCAATTGGATGCATTGCTCTACCAAGAACAAATGGGACTCGGCAAAGAGCGGGAGGAAGAGATTTCTGCAGTGCTACCTGCCACGAATGCGGATGAGGATGCAAATACGAATGCGGATGCAAATACTGATGCAAATACGAATGCAAATTCAAATGAAAATGAAAATGCAAATGCAAACGAAGACACTTCTGTTGCCATAGGAACAGAGCAAGAAGACCATCTTCCCGATCCGAACGCCGTCGACGAATTGCTCACCCAGGAGGTGATGCGACTCTCTCTCCAGCAACGAACCAACTTTCAGGAAGAGGTCCACGGCGTCCGGTGCTTGGCTCCGGAGGAAACCCCCGAGCTCTACAACGAAGCCCTCGRTGCGCTCCAGCGAGAACTCGATGCGCTCCCGGCTTCCGAAAAAGTCGCCTACCTCAAGAGCCAAAGCATGCGSTTTCCGGGYGGAACCCGGGCCGGGCAGCCACCGGGAATCTTGCACCGCACAGAGACGTACGTGAACTCCCGAGAGTTCCGGTTGCGGTTTCTCCGATGCGATCTCTTCGACGCTTCCAAGGCCGCCCTCCGCGTGACCAAGTTTCTCGACCTCGTATACGAGCTCTTCGGGGAGGTGGCCCTGTGGAGGCCGATCCAGCTCTGTGATTTTTCCGCAGCGGACCTCCGGAAGATGAAGAAAGGACGCTACCAGCTCCTTCCCTACCGCGACCGKGGCGGAGCCTATGGGAGGCGGGTAATCGCTATCTTGCCGGACGCCGAGTGGGAGGAGATGTCCGGAAAGGTGCGCAGCCGGATCTTCGTCTACCTGCTGTGGGTGGCCGGAAACGATGTCAACGCCCAGAAGGAGGGCATGACGTACGTCGTTTGGTTCGACCCGACCTTCCGGGTGAACCTGAGCCCGACGATGTACCACAAACACGTAGAATCCCTTTCCATCCGAATCAGCGCCTTTCACATGTGCACGCCCAACACGGAAGAGTACCGGATTCGGCGGTCCACCATCACCAAGCGCATGGACCAAAACGGTCGTTTCCGCCTGAAGCAGCACATGGGGGGAACCGACGAGCTCCGYGGGATCCTGCGGTCCTACGGGATTCCCATCGAACACCTCCCGATCACGGAGAGCGGAGCCATCAAGCTGGTCTACTTCCGGCAGTGGACCCGGTTGCGGGCATGGGAGGAGAAGCAGCCTTGCGGAGACGACGGTTTCGGTCCCAGGATCGAGTCGCCCTACCTGAACGAYGTTATCTTTCGGAAACGGTTCAACACGTCCGACTATCCCGGAAACGCGACCTTCTATGGGCTGGTCCGGGAGAAGGCGCTGCTGGAGTTGCAGCAGTCCCAGAAGGGACGCCGCTACACCAAGAGGGCGACGGCGAAAGCCTTCGTGCTGGAAGTCGTCCGGGCCCAGCTAAAGGACGAGGAAGKGGGCCGGTTTCTGCARTGGGACGAGGACGGCTGGTGGACCGAGCTCTCGAGCGAGACCGAGATCATCCGTCGCGTCGAATACACGGTGACCAGCGTCCGCAACGCGGTCACAAAATTCTATAGAAACAACCAAGAGAACAACAAGAACAACAACAAGAGCAGCAGCAGCAGCAGCAAGGCAGCAACAGAGAACGCAACCGACGGAGGCGAAAGCAAAGCCACAAACGCAGCTACAAACGGAACCGCAGACCCGGTTGCGACAGCGGGTCGGAAGGAGATCCACAGAACGGCCGC